CATCATGGGTATGGTGCTGGCTACTCGAAGGGAGGTGTTCGGAACAGACGGCGCTCCCGTGCTCGTGCCGCGGGCGGCGCAGCGTTGGTGCGGTTGGTTGATCCGAAGGAGATGAGCTGCACAAACATGAACTTCAGGAGGTCCCCGCGGATTGCTTGGATCAGCGCTGGTCCCGCCTAGCGGGGTATCGCCCTTGGCGTGCTCCGTGAGCCAAGGGGGGGGAACATGACGTGGCTCGTGTCTCGCAATCCGTTCTCTGCCGCGCTCCTTTTCACGTGTGGTCGGTGCGACTGCTCCCTTCCTCTCCTCCTCGCATCCTCCTCGCGTCCACTCCTACCATTACCAGACATCTGACGGGCTCATGTGTTCAATCCAAGCGTTTTTCCTTCGCTTCGGCCTCTCGGGCTCATTGTCGGTCCCCGGGGCTATCAAAAATAAATATCAAAAAAAAAAAACGGGCGGAAAGCTGTCCCAGGGGAAGGGGTCGGCTTTCGCCCCAGATTGCTATTTGACAGCTCGGGGGCCTGACAACGAGCCCGAGAGGCCGAAGTGAAGGAAAAACGCCAGGATTGAACACATCAATCCTTCAGATGGCAATGGTAGAATGGGACGTGGGGAGGATGCGAGGAGGAGAGGAAGGAAGGAGTCGCACCGACCACAAATGAAAAGGAGCGCGGCAAAGAACGGATCACGAAACACGAGCCACACCAATCCTTCCTGGCTGCGGGCGAGCGCCTGGGCAGACAAGAAGAATAATCGGCAACTCCGAAGAATGTGATTTGCACAGGGCGTGGTCTGCAACCGACATCCTGGAGGGCACCCTGGGGGGTGGGCGGGAACATCGATAGAGGTCTTCGCCGCGCCCCGAGGAGGCCCGATGAGGACATGGTCGTGCCTCCCAAGCCCCAGCGGTGCCGATTGCAGACCACCACCCCGGCGTAACCATATCCTTTGTAGCCACGAGAACAACAAGTCTCGGCGGTCCGAGAGGTTCTGTTGCATCCTCGGGGGACCTTGTCTGTCCCGTCGCGGCCCCGTCCGCGTCGAATCCGTGTCGAATCCATGTCGGATCCGTGTCGGATCCGTGTCGAATCCGTGTCGAATCCGCGTCGAATCCACGCCAAATCCGCGTCGAGGTCCCCCGAAGATGCAACAGAAGAGAGGAGGAGGAGGAGGAGGGGGAGGAGGGGGAGGAGGGGGAGGAGGAGGAGGAGGAGGAGGAGGGGGAGGAGGAGGAGGAGGAGGAGGAGGAGGGAGGGGGAGGAGGAGGAGGAGGGAGGAGGAGGATCTCGTGGAGCGGCGCCAGACCCGCCTCCTCTGGAGGGGGCGGCGCCGGAGAGGTGCGGCCCGGGGGCTCCGGCGTCGCTCCATAGAGAGGTCCGCGCAGGCCTCCGGAAGCCGTGTGGCCCGTGCCGGGAAATCTTCGAGGTAGGAGGTGGCTAGGAGGAGGAGGAGGATCGGGTCGGGCGAAAGGGGGGGATAGCAAAGGGGGGGGGTTGAGAATCAGCTCACGTAGCTGATTTTCCCGGCGCCTCCCGGCGCCGGAGGCGGCTATGTATCGAGGAATGGGCCCCTCGGTGAGGCCGAAACCAGCTGCATGCAGCAAATTTCGTAACCCCCCCTTTCCCAATCCCCCCCTTTCGCCCAGCCCGAGAGGAGGAGGAGGAGGAGGAGGCGGGACATGGCAGGCCCAAGCCGATTCGGATCGCGACATCGGGTCGGATCGAGAGCGGAGCGGATCGCCACCGAATATCGCCCCGGATCGGGTCAAGATCGGATCGCTGCGCCCGGCTCCGGCCGGCCCTGGCCGGCGCCGGAGGAAGCGGGCCGAAGCGCATCGAGTCGGAGTCGCGGCCCCAGCTGGCGAGTCGAGCCGCATCGGGTGGGATCCTCGGGCGGCCCTCGCGGGCGGGGGCCGAAGAGGGCCTGCGTCGGAGGCATGGCGCTATACACCCTAGGCGATGCTTACGAAAACTTAAGTTTTTGGCGAGAGTCTCGATTATTCTTAATGTTTCAATGTAAATCCTAAGATTTTGATAGAGTTCTGGGTTTTTATTCAAATTCTGAGACTCTGAGTTTCTTAACCCATGATTTCTTAAGCATTTCGCAGGGTGTAGCCTCTCTCGGAGGGAGTCTGAGCCACTCGCACGCGGCGAGGGCTGAAACTCGAGCTCTCCAGCCCAGCAGCGAGAGAGGGTGGAGGAAGCGCCGCGCGGGGCAGGGCGACCACCGCCGTCCGCGCCTGGTGCACCCCTGCTCAGAGTGAGCACCGATTTTCGCTGAGGCACTGGGCATCACTGGAAGCGATCTCTTGAACAGTTTGGCCCAGGTCCAGATGCACGAGAGTTCTGCGAAGGAAAGAGGCTCCGAGAAAACGCCCAGGGCCCAATCCAGAGTATTGATTCTCTTATGAGGCATCTGGAGCCCATGAGACATGACGTTTTCTCTCTCTTTTTTAAACTATTTATCCCAGTGCGACCCTACCTAGGAGTTGGAGCCCCTAGGAAAGCAGCATTAGTAGTAACAGTAAAGCTAAGCTAAAGCTAAGCTGAAGCTAAGCTAAAGCTAAGCTGAAGCTAACACTAAGCTAAAGCTAAGCTAAATCTAAACTGAAGCTAAGCTAAAGCTAAGCTAAAGCTAAGCTAAAGCTAAGCTAAAGCTAAAGCTAAAGCTAAGCTAAAGCTAAGCTAACGCTAAGCTAAAGCTAAGCTAAAGCTAAGCTAAAGCTAAGCTGAAGCTAAGCGAAGGCTAAGCTAAAGCTAAGCTAAGGCTAAGCTGAAGCTAAGCTGAAGCTAAGCTAAGGCTAAGCTGAAGCTAAGCTAAAGCTAAGCTAAAGCTAAGCTAAAGCTAAGCTAAAGCTAAGCTAAAGCTAAGCTAAAGCTCAGCTAAAGCTAAGCTAAAGCTAAGCTAAAGCTAAGCTAAAGCTAAGCTAAAGCTAAGCTAAAGCTAAGCTAAAGCTAAGCTAAAGCCAAGCTAACACTAAGCTAAAGCTAAGCTAAGCTGAGGCTAAGCTAAAGCTAAGCTAAAGCTAAGCTAAAGCTAAGCTAAGCTAAAAGCTAAGCTAAAGCTAAGCTAACGCTAAGCTAAAGCTAAGCTAAAGCTAAGCTAAGCTAAGCTAACAAGCTAAAGCTAAGCTAAAAGCTAAGCTAAAGCTAAGCTAAAGCTAAGCTAAAGCTAAGCTAAAGCTAAAGCTAAGCTAAAGCTAAGCTAAAGCTAAGCTAAAGCTAAGCTAAAGCTAAGCTAAAGCTCAGCTAAAGCTAAGCTAAAGCTCAGCTAAAGCTCAGCTAAAACTAAGCTGAAGCTAAGATAAAGCTAAGATAAAGCTAAGCTGAAGCTATGCTAAAGCTAAGCTAAAGCTAAGCTAAAGCTAAGCTAAAGCTAAGCTAACACTAAGCTAAAGCTAAGCTAAAGCTAAGCTAAAGCTAAGCTAAAGCTAAGCTAAACCTAAGCTAAAGCTAAGCTAAAGCTAAGCTAAAGCTAAACTAACACTAAGCTAAAGCTAAGGTAACACTAAGCTGAAGCTAAGCTAAAGCTAAGCTAAAGCTAAGCTAAAGCTAAGCTAACACTAAGCTGAAGCTAAGCTAAAGCTAAGCTAAAGCTAAGCTAAAGCTAAACTAACACTAAGCTAAAGCTAAGCTAAAGCTAAGCTAAAGCTAAAGCTAAAGCTAAAGCTAAAGCTAAGCTAAAGCTAAAGCTAAGGCTAAAGCTCCCAGGGGACTGGGGGAACCGCGGGGCGGGGACTGGGGGAACCGCCCGGGGCGATTTGCACTGCCCGGCTCCTTTAAGCTAAGAGAGTAAGAACCCTTCTAGGCAGAGCCTAGGTAGGGACAAATTATAATCGGTGTAGCTTCTTGGAGATTAGCGAGGAAGAGACAGGAAAAGGCAGAATTGGGGCGGCGGGCAGCGCAACCAAGTACACAGCCGTCGTGCCGTCATGAGCAGCGCTGAGTGAGGAAGGATCGGCCCTTTCTGGCCACGGCGATCCTCGGCCATGAGCAAGCTCCCCGACGCAGATCTGAGGAACAGGCCGAAAACCAGAGCCCCGTCCTGAGCACAGGGTAGCCCCCGCGTCAGCGTCTTGGTCGATGTCTGGAGGGCAGCGCGCGGCAGTCCGATGGCACCATGCCGCAGAGGTGAGGGGCCAGGGGGGGGGCAGGGACGAGATGAGGGGATGGAGCTGCGGCAAGCATCGGTGACCCGATCGTGATGCAGGAAGCGCAATGGACACAAACGACCAGAAACCTTGCGAGAAAAACTATGTGGGCACATGATCCGTCGATATTTGAAGGTATTAGGTGCCCCGGAGCTTCTGTGGGTCC